AACCTGAAATCAACAATCCAAAGAGGGTTATGCACTCCTATGTTCATTGCAGCATTATTCACTATAGCCAAGAAGTGGAAGCAACCTAAGTGTCCCTCGACTGATGATTGGATCAAACTCCTTATTTTTAAGCTTATTTTGCTCAGGCCCCAAGCTGAGTGACTAATGGGAGAGGAAGGTCCTAGGCTAGAATCATATAAAAACCCAGTCCCCCTGATCTTTCCCACTCAGAAAAGCAAAATTTCAAATAAAATTTTAAGTGCTAGTTTTAGTCTTTTTCTATAAAGTGGGGAAGATTCCTTTTCTGTGATCACTAGGACTTGCTAGTAACTTGATCATTCCAATTATTCAGTGTTAACTGTACAATGTACAGCAGGAGAGGATAGACTTCATTAAGGGACTCTATAGGTGTTGTTTTGTTTAAAAATATTTTATGTATACTGCAAGTGAATTAATCAGTAAAAACTGTATTTATTCCCAAATTCCTATATGAAAAATATAACTGTTACCCCAACTTTCCTCATATTTGAGAGATCAGTGCATGTTGGATTACAGCATTTCATATTAGGAACATGATTATTCAAACATAATATCTGAGGCCTAAACAACTAAAAATACTCACAACTCCTAAAAAATTACACAAGCATAAAATGTTAACAATGGCAGGTGTATTTAAGCTCAATTTCTGGAATAATTGGTAATACTCAGAGAGGCCCATTCAGGTTGTTGAAGTGTACAAAGCCTTGAGCGCAGCTCCTAGCCCAGTGTTACCTGAGATTTTTCTGAACCCCACAAAGGACATTTTGGGGGAAATCTTTCCCAATCTCATCTAAGTTCTGGAACAACTTTCCAGGGAGTCAACCCAGCTCTGAAACAAAGCACCTGGTGACCTTTAGTTTGAGATGTCTAGAGCATACTTTTGAGTTACATTGATTGAGATCCAAACTATAAATATGATAAAATGGAAATCAAGATATAATTCAGTGAGATTGGATAAAACATAATAGTTTAAGAACTTGCTATCTTTTGATTATTGTGTGTTTCACCAATTCATTAAATTCCACTGATCAAGTATTCACATTTTGACTTTTGATTAAATGAAAATTTGAATTAAAAAATGTTTTCCTCTCATCTCGTGTGTACCTTGTTTAACTGCTGACCACTGCAGTAGGTCTCTTCCCTCCTCCCAATAAAAAAGGGTAAAATCTTCCAAAGAAACTTTCAGATAAATGTGAACTAACACATAGGTACATAATCCTTCACTTTTCTGACACCATTAATTGGGTTATGTCTATGCACTGAAGCATGTTCCATCTGTGGCATTAGAGAAATGACATGGATAAAATTCCCCTGTGATGATTAAGCAGTAAAGTAGGTATCTGTATGAAAGAAAATCCCTAATTATTTTACATCAAGACCAATTAACAATTATTTGAGTGCCTAATATACACAATGCAATGAGAAAGAACCTTCTACTTTTGGGGGAAAGGGGATAGAAAGCACAAAGAAAAGGTATCCATGTTGAAAAAGAAGTTTGGTAATCCTTATATTCTGCACCCACAAGATACCTGATACAGTAACAAATGTTACCGAGTTGAAGACTGTCAGCACCTGAGGCCATTAATACTAGAAAGAGTTGAGGCACATGGGCTCACAACTCGGAAAGACATTTCTCACAATTTTACGCTAACCTAACATCACCATCTCCAGTTAGCACCTCATTGAAATAACTGATTTAGAATCTCGAGGTAAATATATAGACTGATCTGAGAAGGCAATAAAACACAAATGGTGTGTTATCTTACAATGAACATAACAATTATAGTAGGGCAACCACAAGTTTCCAAAAACATCAATAGTTTTCAAAGTTCAGAGGAATCACATGTAAATTTTCACATGGTTATTTATCTAGAACTGCAAATCCAGTAATCATCTTCTGAGAACAAAGCAACTGCCTATAGTAAAAAGTAATGGTTGTCCCATATGCCCACATAGAGGTATGGAAAAATGCTCACTGCCTAGATTACTTTTGAAAAATATATTTTTTAATTTAACAAATTAAAACTAGTAATTGTTGGTTTTAAGATGTTTTGAGAGGTGGTAATGTCCTGTGAAGCGTAGATAGTTATGGCAAAGGATGCTTAACTGACATTGAGTTTGAGTAGCTAGAAACAGCTCTTCTGATACACAAATAAATATTTTAGATGTACCTCTATTTGAAATACTGATTCCAATCTTGAACTGTAAGTGGGTGGGGAGATGTGAGGTTGAGCGACTTGTGTCAGTTCTAGAAAAATACCTTAAAGAAATTAAAGGTGAGTATAGTACAAGAAATCACCCAATTTCAAGCATAACTGCCTGAAAATAGAATAGAAATTACACAGTTTTTATTATATAGTTATATGAGTTGTTGCCAAAGGTCTGCTTTAGTATGCAGATTTCATTAATGCATACTTTTCCCCCACACCTTCTCATTCTGAGTTTGACCTTAAAATTATTACACAAAATAACGTAAATGAGTTACAATATTTGGAAGAGTTGTTAATCTAATTCCTTTTGATAAACATCCAATACAGGGGCCAGCCCTGTGGCTTAGCGGTTAAGTGTGCGTGCTCCCCTGCTGGCAGCCCAGGTTTGGATCCCGGGCGGGCACTGACGCACGGCTTCTCCGGCCATGCTGAGGCCGCGTCCCACATACAGCAACTAAAAGGATGTGCAACTATGACATGCGACTGTCTACTGGGGCTTTGGGGGGTGTGGGAAGCAAAGGAGGAGGATTGGCAATAGATGTTAGCTCAGAGCCGGTCTTCCTCAGCAAAGAGAGGAGGATTAGCATGGATGTTAGCTCAGGGCTGATCTTCCTCACACACACACACAAAAATATCCAATACAACTTTGAGTTGGTAACACAAAAGTATTGAAATGTTTCACTGATTATAATCTTATATTCAATTGTTTATAGGTTTAGACTTGCGTCAACTGCTCAATTTTCACCACTCATTCATTTTTGTGTGTGTGTGTGAGGAAGATCAGCCCTGTACTAACATCTGCCAATCCTCCTCTCTTTGCTGAGGAAGACTGGCCCTGGGCTAACATCCATGCCCATCTTCCTCCATTTTATATGCAACGCCGCCACAGCATGGCTCAACAAGCGGTGCGTCGGTGCGCGCACCCTGGATCCGAACCAGCGAACCCCGGGCCACTGCAGTGGAGCGCGCACACTTAACCGCTTGCGCCACCAGGCCGGGCCACCACTCATTCATTTTTAAT